GACAAACACTGATCTGTAGCACTAAAACGCATTCCCTATCTTTTCATTACTACCATATATATGAAGTGTTAACGCAACTCAGTGTTGTTAAAATCTCGTAGACAGGGCTTCTTCTGATTATGGGTAGATTTATATGTACATTAATGATTGCTTATTATTCGTGTTAAAAACAATAATCGTTGCTTATATATGATTGCAGCGGTCGTATATATAAATGTTCTGACGTTATCTCATAGCTCCGCGTAAATCTACAACAAACTTCAACACGATCGTCAATAACACCGTGACCGTAAATGGTAAAGTGTATAGGAGGCGACGTTTCGGGCAACGGCTCTTTTCAGAGCATATCGAGAGAGAGAGGCCAGAGATGTAGAGTTGACTCTACACCCTCCCTGGCTTCCCTTAAATGAAATTACAGGTCAGCACAATTTTTTTAAAGCGAGTTTAATTTAAATTATTAACTTGCTTTATTTTTTTCACTACGATAATTTTAATTCCGCAATTCCTGGAATAACTCTTGGCATAGTTGTGACAAATCCAGTACGGTCCACTTGCTGCCTCCGCCGATGTTCTATTGGCTTGGGAGATAAGGCAAAGCGAGCGGATGGAGGGAGAGGAGATCGGTGGAGAATGCGCAGATCCCCCCCAACTCAACGCGGCAACCGTTGGCCGCGTCCTGTGAACTGCGTGCCAGATGTTGAGCTTCGATACGTATTAAATGGGAAGTTGCCGGGTTTTTTTTCTGTGCCCGCTGATCAACGCTCAGCGGTGGGATCGGCTCGGGCGCTCGTTCCCCACCTTCTCGTTTCACGCGATTGGACCCGCGACTCGCCCGCCCGCCAATGCAATATCCATCTGCAGCACGTGCGCCGGGCAAAAAAAACCAACACGGCAGGCCTCGCGGCAGATGTCACCTCTTTCTCCGGCTTTCTCTCCGCAGCGCGCTAACTGTGGGAAAGATGATTTTGTCATTCCGTTCGCCCACTCTGCCCGGTTTTGTCGTTTAACCTCCCCTCCCCCCCCAAAAAAAACGCTTAAATAGCGACCCCTCCCCCACTCGCGCGCTATTGAGCGTTGGTTTGATTAGCGCTCATCTCCCCTGGTGGTCCTCAATCAGTGGTGGATATTCCACATTCCTATGGCAGCGATCAGGGCGCCCATTTACGATATAACAAACATTGCTTGGATCACCACATGGCGCTCATTTGTACCGGCCCCCAGAGGGATGAGGATGAGCCAACTCTGTTCTGGATTTGAACTCTCGCGGTCTCAGGGTTGAGGCTCCCTGCTGCTCTGTCAAGTGACATCATCGCCTACCGCCCTGTGCAGCTGTAATCCTCTCTCTCGTACACACGCCTCTGGCGTTCCGTCTCCCACTTTTCCGTCCCGTCGTGTGTGTGTGTGTGTGTTCCCTTCTCTCGGCTGCCACTCGATTTTTTTTTCTTCTCGGTGATTTTTTTGTTGTGACTTCCCGCGCGCAGCGTCCTTTATGTTATTTTTGAGGCTTGAAAGCGACGAACGGTTACGCGGCGTTGTAAACGCCGAGACGCGCGGGCCGTCTAATTCATCGACGAGCGTTGCCGTCAGCCCGAGCCGCTGCTCTCGGACACATCCGCGGAAAGCGTGGCCGCGAAATTCTGAATAACGTTGCGCTGAAAAGAATGTTCCGGAAAATAGCTGAGGATGTATCTGAGATGAAATAATATTTGGCGGGCGTTCAAAGATTGTCTTGGGTAAAGGAAAAAAAAACAATCGTTGGGTTTTAGTTTTACAACGGCGCTTTCTCCTTGTCCAGATACGCGTGGAGAAGTGCAACCTCTGAATGCGTTCACGGGAGGGGGGCGGGGGGCGGATGGCAGCGCAGCTTTGGAGAAAGGCCCAAGCATCCGCCCAGCTCACGCTTAATTAAAACATTAAACAGTGCCCCTTTGTCGGTCCGGGGTATGTCGGTCCCGTGGGGCGGTCGCGATGAAGTCCGATAAAGGCTACAAGCCGCTGATAAACGGCGCGAGGGAGACGCCGAGTGAATCCTGCAATTCTCTGCCGTTCGGACGCTTTGCGCTGGAGAGAGAGGGCGGTGGGGGGGTGGGGGGCAGGATCTCGAAGCAAAACATTGACAACGACGAACTCATACCGATGAGCAGTTCGGACAGGGCCGCTACTGTTTAAGCCCTCCCCACCACCACGCGCACCTGCGTTTGGGAGAAATAATGCTCTTAATCAGGTGTTTATTTTTTGCACTTTCAAGTTCCCCACACTTTCTGCGCCTATCTCTCCGGCGTGCAGGCCCTCCTCCCCCTTTGGAAACATTTCATCGCGGACAGCGAGTGCCTCCCTCTCTTAATTAAAGCCGTTCCCACTGACCCGACGGCGCTTTTCTCACACGGAGGAGGCACTCGGAGGAATCTCGGCTCCGCGAGCCGTGAAAATTTGAGCTCCGGCCGCCAGTCGTATATTCGTATATTTCTCCGCTCGCCCGGCAGTCCCACGCTTCCTTGTAGCGGTTTTCGCGTTCGTCCGCGTAGGTTCGCGGATTGCTTCATGCGTTATCGCGCCGATGAATGTGGTGCATTGTCAGAGTAACGTTTCCCCACCAACAACGGATTCCAGGGAAGGGCACGTTAACGGAATGCTTGTCCCAGGCCCAACACTTTTATATATATAAAGATACGTGACTTTTTTTTTCTATTAAGAATACAGGCCCGAGAATAAGCTTCAAATCTAGGTTTTTTCCCCTTTTTTCTGGCAACAACACAGGTGTTAAGATGTTAAAACACCAAACTGAAACCTTTTAAAATGAATCATGTCCGCATTAACCACAATACTTGTGGCCAGAATTTCTGCTTTGCTTGTTATGCGAACGTGTTCGAGGGTAATAGACGCATGCGTGTGTGTTTGTACGGCAGTGGCATCTAGCCATTGCTTACCGTCGAGCTACCAGCGTAAAAGACGTGGAGATTCGTGTTTGCATTGGAGTGCGTCCTGCCAGCGACGGTGGGGGATTTGTGTGTGTGTGTGTATATGTCAGGTCGACTCAAACATCACCACTCGGGAGACAAAGGCGGCCGGGCGTGGTGCTGGCCACCCACACCCTCGTGTGCCATGCCGACCTCCATAGGGTGCTCGCCAACAGCACTTGCCCCAACAGTCTGTTAAGGCTGTACGGGCGATGTTTGTCTAAGTTGTTTTGTCCACCGTCAATGAGTCATTTCATACTCTACAGCTTCATTTGAAAATTCTAATTTGGCTCTAAAATAAAACATTTTTTTCCACAAATCGAAAGTTGAATATCTGATACATTGTTTGAATAAGACACTCAAAAATCTAATATCTGACAAAATGGAAGTTTCTAATTTAACTCCCACGTTGACTTTGGTGCCAAGTTGACCCGTGCTCCCACCACAGACAGCGCGTTCTGCTCGCCCAGGCGGCTCGCACGTGTTTGTGTTGTCTGCGCGCCCGCGGCTCGCGTGTTTGCTCCTCGTTGCACGGCACACGTATTGCCCGCTCTTGTGAACAATGTCACCGGCTATCGTTACGCCCCGGGACGCGAGCAGATAGGACGTGCCCTGTGCTGAACGCCGTGCTTGTTTGACAATGTTCCCGAGAGACACTTTTATCGATCACGTGGGGTCGACGGGCCAGGTCAATGGCCATCGAACCTTGGACTGGAGAGTCGCACGCGCACCCCCAGAATGTCGGGAACACCCCACTGCCACCGCCACTACCGCCACCGTCCACCGCCACTGCCCAAAGTGAATCAAAGCTCTGTGGCATAGCCGTGGCTTTCGAAATGGACAACATTTTTTTAATAGAAACGTCATCATCATCATCATCGTCGTCATCATCGCCATCATCATCGTCATCGTCATCATCATCGTCGTCATCATCATCGCAGGCCATAGTGTATCCACCGACATTTTACACGTTGCATCTAGGACTCCATTTAAGGCTGAGTTGACCTCGGAGAGGTTCAGGTCAGGATAAAAACCGCTTGCCACTTATTCTTCTTATTCTTTCATATGGCATTTGAAAACAGCAACAGAAATATAATTTCATTGTTAATTTCGCGAGCCATTCCACGGCATCCAGTGGTAGCCGAGTTTTGGTTGTATTGGGGCAGTCATCAGTGATGGTCTTCAACCAAAACCACCGCCACTGCCCAACTGGCCAGTTGCTAGCTGATATCCGCCGGTGAGCAGCAGTCGAACTTGGCTCGGTGGGATTGTAACGGAGGGCGTGGGTCCCAGCGGCCATGCCGTGACGCACGCGCAAGAGCTCACGTGTACGTGCCACGGAGTCGGCAAATGTCTGAATTATATAAACATTTTTTTTATAGTTGGTCAGAAAAAAAAATGCGGACTATTTCAGCTGTTGTGCCTCCTTAAAATCCTCCCGCTAATCTCCTCGAAAGACCATTCGGAGGATCTTCAGCGAACGTGTTTGCAATGTTTCTTTTCAAGTTGTGTTTACGATGGTAGTGGTGGTGGTGGTGATAATTATTGCAAAGGTGCTAAGAGTGGTAGTGATGATGATGATAATACGATGATAGTGTTGATGATCCATACAAAGTAGGTGATGGTGGTGATGGTCATGGTAATGACGACTCGATCGTGTGGATGTAAAGACTTTTTAGATTTTCTTATCTTAAAATATATTAATACGTCAATATATTGTTCAAGTTCCATGCTGTTACATATTATTCGCGTGATCGGTTCACATGTGCATTTTGAATGTGTTTCGCTGTTGGTATCATGTGTTTGCTTTCTTAAACAATTACTCTTATAAATCACAGCCGTCAGTGAAATCCACTGCCGGATGAGGGCCCACCCGCACCGTGGCGTTACGGGGCTTCCCAGTAAACGCGGAACGTCGGATAGAGCGCGGCCTGTCGAACGAAGGCCGCCTCTGTTCGCATTCCCCGCTCGCCTACCTGCCGTTGTCCCTGGCTGACGCGTCGCGTGCGTTGCGTGCGTGGCGTGCGTTGCGCTCGTGGGCAGGTGGACGATCAGATGAAGCTGCTGCAGAACTGTTGGAGCGACCTGCTGGTGATGGACCACATCCAGCGGCAGGTGCAGCACGGCACGGATGGCGCCGTCCTCCTGGTCACGGGGCAGCAGGTGCGTTGCCCCTGCGGCCGTAGATGATGATGATGATGAACATGATGATCATGACCTGGTTCAGCAGTTCCACTGCTGGATTATACTTTTTTACTGCCTGAGGACGACCGCTTGTGTTGCGATCAAAACGTCGTGATATATTATTTATTTTATTGTATTTTTCTACCTACGTGACTTTACCGAAAGAACCAAGAATATGAATCCCTGCAGTCATGAAAAGCTTTAAATAATTTTATTTTATTTTTTTTTTTATTTTACCAAGAAAAGCCCACTGAGCTATGTAGCTCTTTTTCAGACGCGACCTGGCTACAAATGATAGCTCAACAAAGTGGCGTACCACATGGAAATGTACTCTGAACACGTGTCGATTCTAAATGTTGATTCTAAATGTGGAGAGAAAACCCAGAGGATCCGGGAAAAAATCCATGCGACCATGGGGAGAGAGAGACACGCAAACTCCAAATATACAGCAGCAGGCATCAGGGTCGGGATCGAACCCCCGACCTCCTTCGTACCAGGCGAGGGAGTTAACATCTCCTAGCCACCGTGACGAAGGGTGAGCGAGTTTGTGCAGGACGCGCCGCTCGAGGGGATGACAGCCAATGGCCGAGATTAACGACGGAGAGTTATAGCTAAAGGAGGGAACGCAGTGCCGGGGTTATTGGGGGGCGGGGGAGGTTATGCCCTGCGCGGAGATGGAGCGACAAATTCGGCTCGTGCGCGTGCAGCCGGACGGATGGTCACGTCGCGGCAACCGTGAGCGATGGCTTGGGGAGGCATTAGTCTCTCGGCGCGTTGATTGTGGCCGATCGGTGACGATGGTGACGGTGGCAGGTGGACCTGTTCTCGGTGTCGGCGCACGCCAGCGAGGGGCTGCAGTCGCTGCTGTGCCGCGCCCAGGAGCTCGTCTCCAAGCTGCGCTCGCTCCACGTCGACAGCCACGAGTTCGTCTGCCTCAAGTACCTGCTGCTCTTCAACCCCGGTGAGCCTTCCTGTCCCACAGTCCCCTCTCTCTCCCCCCTTTCTCCCGTCCCACAGTCCCCCTTTCTCTCCCCTCTCTCTCCTCCCTGCCATGCAGCAGGGCCACTGCCCGAAACGTCGTCTATTTGAACGTCCGTTATGCCACTGTTATCGACAAAAAAAATCTGTCGAGTCTTTTTTTTTTTGACGTTGGGCCCCAAGTGCTGCTTTAAAAGAGAAAGAATCTCGTCACTGATGAAGTGAAAGCAGCGCCGTGGCCTCAAGGCTGCGTGCGGGGAGGCAGGGAGCGGGAGCAATGATCCTCTAAACTCCTCCGTGAGAGACCAAGTTTCCCAATTAACGTCCTGCACCTGCACTCTCTGCTGCACCCCCATGGGGGGGGGGGCGGAGGAGGAGGGGGGGGGGACGTTCTTCTGCTCGCCCTGAATCCGAGTCCATCTGTGCTCCCACCAGACTCTTCTGCGGGGTTTACGCCGGAGAGATCACGCACGCACGCGCGCATTCACGCGTGCGTGCGTGCGTGCGTTAACGACGCAGCTGCCGTGTTCGCCGCGCGAAGAATCCGCGCGAACTCTCCGACGCGATTTCGCGTTGGGGCCGCGCGTTGTTCGGCGTGCGACGTCCGACGTGTCGGGCCACGTCGCTGGGAGCTTCGTCAGGACTGGAAATCTGGAATTTGGCCCAGATATTTGGTGGAGGCTATGCTTGCAGCTTGATAAATACGAATCCTATTCTGTTGAACTTTTTGGCCTACAAATAATCATGAGGTTGGGATGTCAATTTGATTCACTCGTAAGGCAGGGTCAAGTCAGCGTAAGGTTACAAATAGTCATTTGTCTCCTGTAGAGTGTGAGACTGGCATACCTGTCAACCCAGACGGTTCTTGTACAGGGAAATTGAGTTTTCAGGTCCATACGGTGTACAGCCTACTTGTCCGTGTTTCTCCCTTGTGATGGGATTTTGTAGGATGAATATTGAGAGTTATAAGAGCACGGGCTGACCAATGAGGTCTGAATTGGTTGTGAAAAGGTAGGCAGTGATACGGGGTTGACAGTAATTATATACATTACTCTTTCGTTCTTTCGGTAAAGTAACGTAGGTATAAAATAAAATAAATTACGACGTTTCGGGCGCAACACAAGCGTCTGTCATCAGGTGCGACAACCACAGCAAGAAACAATTGCTGAAGTGGGCAGACTTCAAAAACTTCAAATCTAGATTAATTCTATACACATTCAAGATGTAATACTCATGTAAATGTTTCACGTTATAGCAAATGGGTATCTATTTTCAATCCACGTTGAAAGACAGCAGCTACGTTTCAAACCAGTTGAGCAATCATCATCATCAATCACCATCACCACTCGTGGTCAATCGACTGCTGGATGAAGGTGTCCCAAGCCACCTTCATTCACCTCGATGTAATAATTCACGGAAGCACCTGCACACAAACTGATTTCATCGCTCCATCTCCCAGGTGCACGCAATCTCGGATGCGTTCAATTCCTGCAGGCAATGTCATGTAAAAAAAAAAACATTTAAATAAAAATGCGCTTTATCATTCCACGCTAAGCTCTTTTGGCATTGTGCCTTTTAACCAGTGCCAGAAGTCCGCACCACATTTGAACGAAGTAGTATAAAAAAAATATTTAAAAAATATATATACTGAAACATTTTCGCTGGGCTGTTTTAACAGCACGTGTTTCAGGCACTCGCCACCCAGGGGCTGTGATTTATTCCAGACACGCGGGGCCGTCTTTTCGTCTTCGGCATCAGTGGTATTTTCTAGCTCTCCGACTTTAGCTCTAAGCGGTCGTCGGCGCATCTCTCTGACTAAACGGGCGGACTTATCGGCCTCCCCGGTCGCATTCCCCGTTGGCATCGTCTCAAACGCCGCGCCTACGGCTACCAATGTACACGCGCGGCCCTTTGTGTCAATCCACTGCTGGATGACGGCCTCGCGTGCCGTGCGGGAGGCCCTGACCGTCGTTTGCGGGGCCGGGCAGTGCGGGTCGCGTGACCGCAGTTGACCACGCTGGTCGGTGACGGCGCTGGGAACGAACGCAGTGGCATAGAAGTACAGCACAACGATGGATTTTATATTTTCCCGCGCTCAAAATCTGCTGCCCACCGTTGTCGCGCCGCAACCTATAAACCCTGCTGTGCACGGCGGTTGTCAAAGCAAGCACGTAACATTGATGTGATTAATATAAAATTTTATTATTTATTTATAGAGCGCCTTTATTCCAGGCGCTTCACACGTACAAAAACGGTATCATAATCGAATTATTTAGATGGCAGAGGCGTGCATGGACTGAGGAATGAGTGGCCGCAATAGAGGGGTACTTAGGGGTCACGATCGGGTAGGAGAGAGACTGCAAGGAGTGGAGGGGCAAAGGGAAGGAGAGGAAGAGAATGGGCAATATGTTAACATTTGTGCCATCCAATAAAAGGAAATCGCCCAAGCATCGGCCCTTCTGCAAAATGTTGTCGACGAAGTGGCAGCAGGACGTCAACAGAGAGAGATGGAGCAACGGAATAATTGCGCGTGCAGGTGCTCAGGTGGCGGATCAGGGGAGACGTTCATCCAGCAGTGGATTGAGCATGGCTGATAGTGGCAATGACGATGAACACTCGTGTTGCGATAAAACTTGCTTGAATAGCGCAAATGCTCACTCGCGCAGCCGTGAACTGTCCCGACTCTCCGATGGGCATGGTTGGCTAAGTACGGTGCGAAAGAAGTCCTACGTACGTCCACGCGTACGTCTGTGAGCTTCTGCGTGAGGCCAATATCCATGCACCTGCCCCGAGCTGCAGAGCCAACGCATTCCCAGTCGAGCCAGTCCATTTAAATATATATCTGCGTGTAGTTTACTTACTTTTTGTGTAGAAGTAAATTATGCTCGAAACGACTGCGCCACATGATTTTGCCATTAGGCGAGAGGTTTCATGTTGTAATCCTGTTGGCCAAGAAATCTCTCCAGTTATTCTTTCTTTCTTTCTGATATATATATATTTTAAAGTTTTTTTTCAGTTTCTTTTTCTCCCCTCATCTCTCCGGAGCTGTGGTGGGATTTGTCGGAAACTTCTGGAATTGTGATTAAGGCTCCTTGGAGCTTCGGCCTCGTGGTCGACCGCTTTCATGTCGCCGTTGCCGTCACGTGCGTCCCAGAGATGCAATTCTTTTCTCCGAAGTGGAATTTCAAAAATGTGTGGATGCTTTACGGAGTGATGTAATGAGAGCGGGTTTTTTTTAACAATAGCAAAAAAAACCGTGAGATTTTAGTGTAACAAAAAATATTTTAAATAAACTAGGGGGAAAAAAAAAACTCGCTAAATAATTTGTTGAATAGGGTTCCTTGCCAGCTGAAAGTTTCGGGAAAATGTGGAACGCTTCATATTTAAACAAACGGCGCGGAATCAGCTAAGAGTGTCCAAGATATGAGGTTGTTGATTTTCCGCAAATGAAGCAAAACGTGTGCAGCACATTTCGCCCCCACGTAAATAAACGCACCAAAAAAATAAATAAGGAAAAACGCTTTCCGTTATCAGAATTGAAACACGGGCGCAAGAAGAAGAAAAAACAACCTCAACAATAAAATGTATTCCTTACATGTGTCATGCTAGCTCGATGGCGGTGGGCACCGAGCGTGTTTGGATTGCCGGGCCGCTGATGTTATGGGAATGCTGGAGATGCTCTCAACCGAGTTCCACAACAAACACTCTGGTCGGTAAACAAGTCTAGACGGATTCTTAAACAACGAGGGGGGATCGGACGAGACGCTGGCAGCGAGCGAGAGCCGCGCACATCCAGTGGGGAGCTCTCCCACAAGCGCCCTGCCTGGGTGCGGGTTTTCTTTTCGTCGTATTTTAATATCGAGACCGAGTTACAGATTGTTTATCGAAAATGTAAAACTGTCGTCGTCATCGTCAAGCTCATAGCTGGCATTCTCAAAACATCGGCGTGCCGCGGAGGGCAATTAGAATTGTGGCATTTTATTTCAGGAAGGGGGTGCGGGGGAGGTAAGGGGCTGTTTTTGCACAGTCTGTTGCAGTCTCACCTAGTAGGAGGTGTGTATTGTTGGGCTGAAGATTGGGAGGTGTGCTCTGCGTAATAAAACGTCTATTTGCCATCGGTCTGAATTGTGTTTGCAGTGCTGTGGAGAAAAGATACGATGGCATGACGATGTTTGCACAGGATATTCATTCGTTAAACTGGTAATTAAATTATCACGTGCACGGCAATATATTTATATGACCAGAGCCTGTTTTCGTTTAAGTTCTTATTTGACGGTAATTTAACCAACCGGGTAGGTGATTTGTGGGACTTTGACCCTCCGTTTGGGGTTTAACGCTATCGGAAATTCTTTGCCCTGTGGAGCATAGCAGCGTTACTGTACTATATATATACATTTTTTTTACCACTCTTTTTAAATCCCTCTTGCAGTACGGCCTCGCCATTAGAAATGGGCAATTAATGAGCGGGGCGATCTCTTTAGGAGATTTTCGCCGCGCAAAGCAAACACGAGTGACGGGGTTTAACATGAGGTTAAGCGCGTCGCGTCGCGTCGCCCGAGGTTTTTATATTTTTTAGAACCTTATTGTTCTTGTCGATTCGCCTTCGTTAAGACAAAAACGATTCGATCGCCCGCCAATGCCCCCATTCGGCATCACCCCACTGACTTGGCACGGCCGGTGCAGCGTATTCGGGCGTGCGCGTCACGATGCCTTGGCCGTCTCTTTGTCAGCAGCAGCAGCAGCAACAGGTCCAAAGGTCCTCGAGCTTATCTCTTCGTGGCAAGAGGCCGCCCTCTGTTTGAGATTCTTGAAGGAGCTTTCGTTACGGTAGCCTCGGCCGATGAAGAACTTAAGCGTTGGGTGGGGGGGGAGAGCGGAAGGGAGTGGTGGGACGGAGGCGGGGGGACTTCACCTGACCGGGTTCCCACATAGTCGCACCGACACTGCAGTAGACATCGCCTGTGATTTAAAATATAAGCACAGCAGTTGTATTTTTCACCTTAATGTGGCAATTTGGATGTTGAGAAGCGTTTATTCCGTTAGCTGAGATGCCGGTTGATGCGTCACCTACATTTGGCGAGGTCACGTGACCTTCGCCAAGCAGATAACCTTCCACCTCCCTTGCGGTTGTTATTCTTTTTTTTTTGCTTACAAAACAATTGTTGATTCGTTTACCTATTGACCGTGTCGTCCCCCGCCCACCCGCCCACCCGCCGGCACCTTGGCGGAGCAGACGTCAAGTTCCTCGAGAACCAGGCGCTGGTGGAGAACGTGCAGGAGCAGGTGAACGCCGCTCTGCTCGAGTACACGCTGTGCCGCGCCGCTCAGCCCCCGTCGCACCACCACCAGCACCAGCACCAGCAGCACGGGGACAAGTTCGCGCAGCTGCTCCTGCGCCTGCCGGAGATCCGCTCCATGAGCATCCAGGCCGAGGACTACCTCTACTGCAAGCACGTGAACGGCGAGGTCCCGTGCAACAACCTGCTCATCGAGATGCTGCACGCCAAGCAGGCGTGAACGACGCCCCCCCCCACCCCGCACCCCCGCCGCCCTCTGCGCGGTAGTGGCCCCCCTCTGGCCGCCGCCCCCCCCCCACTCGCGCCGTCGTTTGCTCTCCCTGCCACCCCCGCACGCCGGACGGGGGGACCCGTCGGCTCGTGGCCGGGGAAAGATGGAGAGCCGCCAGCGTCGAGATTCATCCGGATGGCGGTGCTGAGACAGTGGTGGTGGCGTCGTCATCGTCTGACGATGACGATGAAGGCGGCTGCGTGGGAGATGTCTCGGAGTATGCCCCGCGGCGGGCGCCACGGCAGAGTCGCGCTTGGCGAGCGTCGTTTGGTTTTCGCTCTGTGAGGACGTCGCTTCTGCCGAGGGGGGAAGGCCCCCTGGGAGAAGGTGGCGGTGCTGCAGAGTCCTCTGGCAAGGGGGATGGAATGTGACTTGAATTGGGTATCCCGGGAGCAGCAGTGCCACGTCACACAGTCTGCCCGCGGAGGCGGATGTCATTCACATTTTTGTTTTTTTTTCCCCTTTAAAGCCTTCGTTCGCCATTTCAGTTTTTCGGTTGTCGCTCGAAGTTTTGCATCTGTCGGTGAGACCGCGTTGGCCTCGGCTGTGAAGAACTTTCACTCGTGAAGCTTTCTTTTGTTTTCTTAGTCTCGCTGAAACGTATTCGAATGGATAGCTGGATTTAACAAATATGTACATGTGGATACGTTGACCCGTGACGTTGAGAAGGACTGCACAGCTGCTTCTGCTGCTGTTGCTGCCGAGAGGCACCGGCTGATCGTTTCACAAATTTGTTTGTTTGAACAAAAGAGAGAAATACACTGCCAATACAACCACCAAAGGTCCAGAGGCGTCAACCAATGCCTCGACGATGATGATGATAGCCGTAGCGGATAACTATTGCCGATTAGTGTTACTCAAGAATATAAAAGCACATGGCATTTAGTTAAAAGTATTTTTTTCCATTAAAGATGCCAAGTGTGGGGTGAGCAACGACTGCAAGCTTATCCTCAACACAAGCCGATTGTTTTTGTTGTTCGCAAAAACTCGTCTATCTATGGATAGGTTAAAGGCGTAGCCCATGCAAGCGCTTGCTCACACCACTGCTGCTGGAAGGGGCCTCCACTAGACGGAGCTCCAGAGAGAGCCCCTCTCGAGTATATTTGGCCTACTCTTCCACGCCGGCCGGACGTCTTTGGAAGAGGTGCGAGCGACCGCAAATTTACCCCACCGCACGCGCACCTGCCGATCGACCGACCGACTTATTTATGTCGTTGCAAAAAGAAAACAATCCTCCCCCCCCCCAACACACGGATTGGGTGCTCTGACTGTCGTTTGATCTCCTCCGTGCGTCTTATTGCAACGCGCTCTCAAGCACAGGCGCACGCGCAGCGACGGACGGCCCACGGAATAGGTACGGTAACATGTGGGGCTCCCTGTCAACTTTGCTCCGGAGAGAGAGACGTTGACGCCGCTCGCGTTGGCGCTGGGGGGACGCGCCGGAGGTGGGGGGGGTGAGCGGCCAAGTCTCGGCGCGAGCGAATGTAGCGAGGCGATGAGACGATCAACGCGGCGGCGCTGCCGACTCGGAGCGACGAATCGCGGGCTGCTGTTGCTGCTGTTGCTGCTGTTGCTGCTGTTGCTGCTGTTGCTGCTGTTGCTGCTGTTGCTTCTGTCGCTGCTGCCGCTGCTGCTGCTGCCGCTGCAGTGTCCCGACTAAACCGTTGTGTTTGCTCATACGCCGCGGGGGGAACTCGAGAATTTGCGACGTCCAAAGCGGTTGTTGAGTTTTCGAAGTCAAGTTGTTCACCTGGGGCGATGCTTTTTACAGTCACAAAACTCATTAAATCGCCATCATCATCATCATTTAGCAGTAGCCATGATCAATCCACTGCTGGATGAATGCCTCCAACAAGACGTCGGGCCGTCTTAATGGTCCCGCGATGCGACAAATCCACGTGGCAACATGCACGGAGCGGCGAGGATGAGGCGACTTCGGAGTAACAGCTGATTGCCACGGCGCAGGGTCCTCGTCCTCCTCGACACGGCAAACGTCGTCCGTAAGGAGGCAGCTCGTCCTGCTGGAGTGGGAAAGGGATGTATGGATACTCATACTTTGTATCGCCCCCCCCCCCCCCACTATCTGCAGGCAAATCGGCGTGCCAGCCGCCTAACCAAGTTGCGTCGTCCCCTTTTGCCTCTCAATGGCCAAAGATAATAATCGTCTGAAATGAAAGCTTGCCCCAGAATTCAGCTGCCTTTTGGCCAGGAATCAAAACCCGGCACCTTTGAACCTCAAGTCTAACGTGCCGACCGTTGACCCGTGGCAGTGACTCCCCGTGGTCTTTCCAGTTTGGCTGCGAATATCACAATTCGGGGTGTGTGTCGACGAAAAAATTTTTAAACAAGATTTAGTGTGGGTTAGAAATGGAAGGCATCTCACCAAATGCATCTCGAGTGTTTTTTTTTTAAAGCAAGAAGTGGCATTCTAGGGCACATCCCTAAGTTACGTGTGTGGAACAATCGGTTGCGACACGCGCGACAGCTCGAGTGTCGACGCGCGATCGTGCCGTGGCGTTTTTTTCCGTCGCGGTTTCTTTACTTTTGTTGTCTGTCGTTAATGTTTCGAAGCCACCGAAAACAAATCATTCACTGTCCACGTGAAGTCGATCCTTTATTTATTTACAACGCGAAGAGTCACTTGTGTTGGTGAATAGCGCTTGATTGACAAAAAAAATTCACTTTCAGTATCCGCCGCATCGATGGGATCGTGCGTTTTCTGTAAAAAAACAAAAAAACCCACTTACGACTGCGCAATTTACGCCAAAGCACTGATTCAAATTGCTCTTAACAGACCCGCTGCATCTTCTCAGATACGCCGCGTATTAGGCCAGGCCAGGGGAGAGTGTTTCCTTCGCTGAAGGAGAGAGATGCCCCAACGTCTTTGGCGTAGTCTCCAGCCAGTCGAACGTTACGTACATACGTAACATAACGGTGAACCTCTTTCGCACCGTATGTGGCCGATTGCGCTATTCGCGAGATAGCCAGTTTAATTCGGCAGCCTAATTGCGGCCTCTCTACATCCCTCGCAAGTCGATGCGGCCGTTAGCGCAGTGTGTGGAGCGAGCAGATGTTGGCGTGAGACGACGCTGCACACAAGAGCGCCGCAGTCGTGCGGGATGGGTGGTGTGGCCGCCCGATGAATGTTTTAGGGTTGTGCCGCGCGTTGTTCTGCACGACGTTTCGCTTTCACGTAGCCGGGAGCGTCTTCAGGAAGCCTAAATGTCCCGCGAGAAATTTCAGCTTGTGAAGAAAAGCTCTTGGCGCGTGGAGCGAAACGTCGGACGTGCGGCGCAACCCGAAGGCGAATCGGGGGAGCTGCACGGAAGCACAACCGCTAGAAACTGACGCGGCCGTCATGAGTGGCGTGTTTCCCTCTTGTCAGTCTTACACACACAGGCCAAAACGTTTGTCGAGAATGTCGTTTTAATTGTTGCTTTCAATGCCATGCATTGTTGTTTCTCTGTTTCTCCGTGTGTTTTTGTTTATGTTGAGCTCCGAGTCCTTTTCGTTTTAACGTCAAGCGTAAATGCGTACCAACTCCGAGTTTGTATGTATGTTGAACTTCTTTCGCACAGTACATAGCTAACCGTGCTAATCGGAGGTGCGGGGGAAGGACTACATTTTAATCACAAAAAGCAGTTCTAAAGAAGTGAGTTTTCAATCTATATTTTAAAGTGCATATAGCTCCAGTGGCTTCCTGACATCGGAAGGTAGAGCGTTCCAGACGGCCGCAGAAGCGCACCTGAAAGCGCGCGATACGGTGACCGTCTTTGTTCGATGGCCAGACAATAGCCGCCACTGCGAGGATGACCACCGGAGTTCCTGTCATGGTTTAGCTCCTTAAACTCAAAACTAAGAATTTTTTTTTTCTTTTGCCAGTTAAGGCCCACTGAGCTATTCAGCTCTTTTTAGAAGCGACCTAGCCACAGCTCAACCAAGTGGCTTATCAAGTGTAAATTTATAGCGACCAAATACTCTTCTAAATGTGGAGGGAAAAACCGGAGGACCCGGAGAAAAATCCACGCGACCACGAGGGAGAGAGAGAGAGAGAGAAAACATGCGAACGCCAAATATACAGCAGCAGGCATCAGGTTTGGGATCGAACCCACGACCTCCTGCATACCAGGCGACGTAGTCAACATCTGGCCACCGCTGCGCCCTTTGAGAGGAGTGTCGGACGTGGCGGAAGGCGATGCATCGAGTGAAGCTTTACCGCCTGTCAACGTGGCTGGTGGAGGGGGGGGGGTGAGGGGGGGGGGTGCTAACCCAATTACTGGCGGCATGCACGGCGTGGTCCCCGCTGAGCTATCATCGCGTGCGAGGGCGGCCCTCGCTATGTGTTACCCCGCGTGGCCATTGCGAGCACGCCGCAGCCATCGGTGGTGGGCGGCTCGGATTCAACGCCTCCGGAATTGCATTCCGGCCCGCGTTGACAGCTCCGGGTGTACAAGAACAAATTTCCGTGATGGAGCGCATGAAACGAAAATAAAATAGCTGTTTGTGGAGATGCGAGCACACAATTCCATGCTCGATGAAAAGTACCAAACGTAGTTTGGGTCAGCGGAAAATAGCTTTAACTGGTTTTTGTTTTTAGTCTGCAAGCCGTTGGGTGGTGTTAAATGTAAAATGTTTTTCTTTAAAAGTGAAATGTTTATGCTGCAAGGACGCTAAATGTCACACGGACGTCCGGCGTGTTACCGTTGTGGTCTTTTTGTTTGAATGAAGGTTCTGCGTTTTAAATGTCTTATTTTATAACCATTACAAGTTCTTTTTAGAAGTCATTGTTGCGCGTCATCTATAAATCGTTACGAAGGGTAATTCGTGCTTTATTTATTAGTTTATTGGGCAAAGTGTACAGATGAAATGCTCAGCCAAGAGTTACGAACGGCGATAATGCAAGCAATTAAAAACCCAAACCAACCCTTTGATGAAACCAAATGTTTTCAAAACAAGTGGGCTTAAAAAAAAGAATAATGTAAATATCTGAAAAAAAATACGAAATTATACTTAAGCGTATATGTGATTACGATTTAAACTTTACGTCACAGGATGCCTTAGAAAAATACAAGTACGAATTGTATATTACGCGGCGGTAATTTTTACAATGTGTTTTTCTTCTTCTTCTGGTCGTTCCACGCGAATGTCTCCCAAGCGGGTTCTTCGTTCCGCGCTAAAATCAAACCTCTCGCTCCGCACCGCGCCACCGCAGTGTTTCTTCAAGCAAGCATTTCGTCTTTTTTTGCGGAGAAGAGGCACGTTCGGCGCGGAACGTTTCCCCCCCCCCCCAACCTTCAAACTGTTCGCTGAGAATCGCCGCGATTTCCGAGGCCGCCGTTACGACTTTTCTTGCGTGAAGGAGGAGGGTGCGTTTTTTTTTTTCGGCTGCCACGGACGGACGCTGTTCAGCCTCTACGTGGCGTTCGCGCGTTCGCCTATCCCAAATAAGCTACGGTGCGTGTCTTAAAACAAGAAATTGCACAGCAGGTGTCTTGGTTAAAGGTAACAAAGTAACTAGAACAACCTTATTTTATTCTCAACTTGCGCTGGCCACTGTAGATCTTTTTACAGCTTTTAAAAAAAGAAAAGCATCTCAGACCCAAAACAGTGTGTATAATGTAATTATTGATAGTAAATGAATAAAATAAATCGACGTGCCTTTAATCAGCCGAGTGGTGGTGTGGTTTTCTTTTTTGACACGAGGCCGTGATGCTGTGCTGCTCGTGGCGTGTGCGTGTGTATGGAGTGGTGGTGCAGCGATTAGCGCAATGACCGACGGGCAAGAGCAGTGGCGAATATCTGAACCGGTTCTGGGCCAGGGGTGGTGTTGGCCATACCACCCCCTCGTGCACCGTACCGGCCTCAACAGGTGTTTGCTAAGTGCACTTGCCCAAAAGGCCTGGAAGGTCTATTCAGGGGATCTTTGTTTTTGTACGTTGGCCACATGTTGACCTTTGTCGGAAGGCTGCACGGGGTTAAGATTAATTTTAAAGCCAGTATTCACTACTTGGGCGTGATAATTGCGATTTGAATTTGGGATGTTTTACACGATTGTTTTTTTCAGTATGGGAATTAACATGAATGTGTGTAGACAACCCACGCATAAAGTAGGCCTCTATTCCATTCGGGGAAAATTTTATTTATTTCACCTCGATCCTTCACAACAGAGCATAATGAGTTTACTATTTTGTATGTATGCGTGTTGAACTTCTTTCGCACGGTACGTAGCCAACCATGCTAATTTTGTTTTTTAGCACTTAGCCCCATTGTGGAGGTTGGAGTGTTTTTGTCAGTAACCTCTGGCAAACCGGCAGTATTTGTTTAAAAAGCATGACTCTGCTGGTGAGAGTCAAAAGATCGAAACCGGTCCAGAGTTTGCGCATTCGAACAATTATTGCTGGGAGACATAGGTCTACAAGACCCAATAGGGCGATAAGATTTAAGTATATATTTACGTGTAAATACAGCAGCGGTCTATTGATCTATTTATGAGTTTCAATCAGCCAACAATACCTACCCACCAAATAAGCTAAACTAAACTATTTTTTATTTCACCAGGTAAGGCCCACTGAGCTATATAGCTCTTTTCAGAAGCGACCAGGCCACAAATGACAGGTAAATGAAGTGGATTATCACGTGAAAATCTATAGCAGCCAAATACTCTTAACGCATTTTTTTATAAATGTGGAGGGAAAAAGCCGGAGGACCACGGAGAAAAATCCACGCGACCACGGGGAGAGCATCCAAACTCCAAATATACAGGCGTCAGGGTTGGGATCGAACCCACGACCTTCTATATACCAGGCGAGGTAGTTAACATCTCACCACCGTGGCACCTGAACAGTGTTCACAGACAGAGGGAGACACTGATTGCTGTGCTGCTGCGTGGGCTTTCGCGGCCACGCTCTGCGTTGTGGCCGCTCTCCGGCGTGTCATCAGAAAGTGAAACCTTCAGCCCGTCAAGAGGCTCCCCGGAACGTGGAAGCGAAACGTCGGACATCGCGCGCGGAGCGCCGCGTGGCACGGCTCGAAAGCCACACCGGAGGGCGAGACCTTTGCCGTTGTTGTTCTCCTTCGAGAGACGCGCGGACGTAATCCGCACGCGGCACTCGATCCGCCCGACTTCATTAAACGCGAGCATTTGCAGGTAGGTGTCGACACGCACGCGAACAACACGGGGAGACCGGAGCGCGCGGTGAGTTACGTGTCCTAGGCACGGCGAGTTCCACCGGGACCAATCGACGGAACCCCGCGGGGGACGCGGTTTCTTTCGTTGCCTCGTGGTTCGCCGTTAGAACGTTCGCGTCGCAGCGCAGCTCTGGAATTTTGCGGGCCTTGCGTGGGCTCGGCACCGCTGCGAACCGGGCAGCTCTTCGCGGTTGCGACGTCACGGCTCTCGCACGCGCGGTTTGCGGGGCGTGCCGCTGCGCGTCGCACGGCACGAAGTCCGACGTTTTTCGCCGCGTGCCGGAGCCTGACACTTTTTCGCGTTGCGTCGGACGCCATGCCAGCCACACAACCAGAAAAAATAAATAAACATTCGAGACATTGTAGGTTTTTTCATATATATTATTAACGACTGTCATTATTACTTTCACTATTGTTCTGTTTTTTGACACGAGGCCGTGACGCTGTGCTGCTCGTGGCGTGTGTATGGAGTGGTGGCGCAGCGATTAGCGCAATGACCGACGAACCCAATCGCTCGAGTTCGATTCCCGCTCACGGGCAAGAGCAGTGGCGAATATCTGAACCGTTTCTGGGCCTCTCCTAGGTTGACTCACTGGGGGAGACAAATAGGGCCGGGAGTGGTGCTGACCATACCACCCCGTCGTGCACCAGACCGGCCTCAACAGTTGTGTTCACTTGCCCCAAAGGCCTGCAAGGTCTATTCCACGTCACCCATTGGATACAGAGAACGAGTCAAACTCCACTTAGCTGAGCGAGGGATAGCACACGAGGGCTCTGTTAGGACACGTATCAACCGTTCCTCTGGAAGATGAAATGTACCACGAACCCAGTTTCAACTTAACGATGAACCATGTTCGTGTTATTAGAGTGGCGGCGATAGGCGGTGCAGCCTGGTCTACAACTTGATGCCTAATGCTGCTGCTACGTTTTGGCCCCTGTCACTAACATGTTGGTGTTGATGGGGCCACAGTGGCGAGATGTTAACTACCTCGCCTGGTATACAGGAGGTCGTGGGTTCGATTCCCACTCTGACGCGTGGATATTTGGAGTTTGTGTGTTCTCTCCCTGTGGTCGCGTGGATTTTTCTCAGGATCCTCTGACATTTTTCCCAAGCGATTCGAGTGTAGTATTTGGCTGCTCAAAATTTCCACACGACGATAAGCCACTTCGTTGAGCGATCATTTGTGCCCATGCCATTTCTCAAAAAGAGTTATACAGCTCAGTGGGCCTTACCTGGTAGAGTAAAAAGAGTAGATTATCTTACAATATCATCATCATTTTCATGCAAGGCTCATCTCGAAACGCCGCTGTGGAATTTGAAAGCCGCCCAGGATTTCCCACGGAGGCCTGGCGCGGGGAAACTAGAACCGGCGCTTCCAACAGCGACAATTGCCCGCGCTCTGTGGTTCTACATTGGAATGTTTGGCCGCCAACCCCGTTAATGAGTGTTTACACTCGTTGGTACAGAGCCTCAAACGGTGTTGCAGCCCTGGAGGGTTTAGGCAAAGGGTTTTGTTTTCATGAGTTTTGGTCGAGCCCCATGCAATGAATACCCCAGCAGCCAGTCTCCCATTAATTAGCCTCTGGAATAGAAGAAAAATAACCCCACGGCCGTCCAGCGAGCCGCCTTGCCGTGTGTGAAAGAGAATATGTCACGGGCGAGCAAAAACAATTTTAATTTACGTTTATGCACGCGCCTCCGCGAGTCTGGAGGTGCGCGCTTGGGACGGCGACTCCAAAAACAAGGAATTTTTTTCCCCAAGGCCAAGTTGGTGATAATTGTGCACGCGAAGAGATGTGGGGGTTGGAGGGGAGGGGGAAACGATGGAGACTTGGAGACTGAAGCAGGATGGTGCGGAGGGCAGTGGTGGCCAGTCCCTCCAGTTTGGAAGTCCGAAAAACTCTGCATCAGGTTGTTTTACTTATCAGGCAGCACGTGCAGATAGTGTCATGGTGTTACTGCTACTACCACGTGAGTTGTAGGAGATTGCGATTCAGTTCCCGAAGAAGCTCCCGACACGTGCGGCGCAACGGTTGACATTGCGCCAAGCTACACAACGGCGTGCGGCTCAATCCGGCAGCGCGCGCACACACGAGGAGTCCGCCGTGTAAATTGGAAGGCGACATCCGTGGCTTTGTCGTGGCTTCCTCCACGCGGTACAGACAACGGCTTCCCAAGAGAACCAGGCATGCCCATTACCGATACATTTTGGTGGGAAGTCGGCGCTGGCGGTTTTATGGACAGGATAACATCTGCCAGAGGAATGTTGAGTTTTCCAATACTGGCTCGGGACAGCTAACAGAAGTGAACACGAGCAAATTATCACTTTCATTTGGAGAAAACCTCAACTTTTATCTTGGTACGTGTTGCATTCCAACGCATTCCAATTAACAATCTGCACCTCTTGGCCCATGCCACTGGAATCTGGGCTGAAAATACAACTCCCGGCCTGCAAATGCGTTATTTGCGTTGAGTTTTGATGAAAATGGGCCAATGGACTCCGTCGCCAGGAATGGGGCCAATCCGTGACCTGGCCGGGTGGCTCAAGGGTCGAGTACTGAGCTGGTACCGCTGAGATCCTGGGTTTAAATCCAAGTCGCCACCCGAGATTACGGTGACAAAAACAACTCAACAAGTTCGTCGTTGGCAGCTCGTGGCCTGCAGCGGATGAATATGATGGGCGACGTATGAGGGGCTATCGTCCTTCTTCGTAGCAATGGAATGACGCGATTATATTCGGCGCTCGCCACGTGTAGCAGGCTCATGGATTCAGCATGGTCACTAACGACCGCAAAAAAATAAAAAATACCACGCATTTGGTTTTTCACCGAATTTGTCCTAAGTGGTCGGTTTGTTCGACGTGCGCCGAAAACTTAACTAGTTGCAGGACATCACGAGGTTCATCTCGTGGAGGGGAGGGGGGGTAATAAATAAAAAGTAAGTCGATTTAAGTGACTTCGGAAGCAACTGCGCGTTGCCATCGCTCAAGAATTGGTCTCTGACACGTGGTGATGCACTGCTAAGCTTGCGAGAGCTCCCGACGGCGACGTCGCCATCCCACAGCGTGACACCAGTGAGCACAATTGTCAATACATTTGGGGAAGAGATGAGAAAAAAGCAACGATCGCAATTAAAACAAAGCGAGAAAACAATGTGTGTGCGCGCGCGCGGAGTACGTGACGCTTGCCAACACGCGATTGTCTTCGGTGGAGAATGAATCGGCGGTACGGAAGGCGACGGACAGGTCGGCGTTTGGGCAAAAATGCATTTTGCTAATTTTCAAAATGGTACTTTTTACGCTGGCTTGTGTCTCACAGTTTTTCGGAAACGCTTTGATCAAAGTGGCCAGTTTTCAACAACAGGGTGTTTAATAGCAACACAACGCTATGCTACAGGTCGGTTCATATTGGTTCATGTTCACGAGCGTTACAATGGTCCCAGCGCCCTCCCCGTGCCCCCATCACAGACGGACAGACAGACAGAGCTAATGGACAAACACTTTCAACCTTAGTTGTAAGGCATGAAAAACACAATGGCATATTTTCGCCAGGGCGCCCGTGGTCATTTCGTCAAGACAAGGATTTGCATTTCGTGGGGGCTCGCTTAAATGCCTTAACATCCCATCGCGCCTGACACATCCCATCTCCCCTCAACAACCATTGCAGCGCACCGCTACGGTCCAGGGGCCCTCCCAGTGGCAGCCGTCTCAGCGCGCGGCACGACACGTGAGTGTGGAAAGTCCGAGACGGTCGTTTTCCGTCGCCCATAAAAGCCGAGCCATCGCTCTGCCGCTGCCCGATGACAGCGTAGAAGAGCTCTTCACTCAAGGAAGGTGCTGTTCCTGCTGCAGCGGAGGCCGGCGTCGTCGGCGGCGGGCGATGAGGAGGAGGCGGGAGACGAGGAGGAGGGTGATGAGGAGGAGGATGAGGAGGAGGGCACCCAGTCGCGGTCTGAGGGCACGTGCAGGCTGCAGCAGGGACCCAGCACGCCGGGCAGAACAGCCTCACACACCTGCAAAGTACCCGTGTGCACGTGTGTGGGTGTGCGTGCGTACGTGTGCACGCGTGGCGTGCGCGTGTACGTATGAGTGTGAAAAACATTGAAAATGTAAAAGAAACAGATGGAAGTGCAGGGAGACAACAGAAATATTGAAAGGTCTCATTCATGTATCAGCAGGCAACACTCCCCAGCATGGCATATGTAGAGAGGATGGTGAAATATTATTCTGCAAATGACCGCAATATGGAATGTTTATCACAAAATCCATTTACAGGTTTTTTTGGGTTCACCAAATATCGGCAGCGACCGCGTTTACACCACCGTGTGTCAGGTCAGTGGCAGATCCAAGGAGGGAGGCGATGGAATCGATAGCCCCCCACCCCCACCCTCTTCAGACCCAGAGAATTTGTATTCTATTGATATTTATGAGAGAAAATAATTTGTTTGTATTCAACTAATGTAGGGCCCTATTTGATTAGTTTGGCATTTCAGGACCTCCGCCTCCCCACCCCCCCTTCCTTGAGGCGTTTCTGCATTCGCCTCTCTCTCTGTGTGCGTGTGTCAGGTCCGTAGCATTCAGCGCGGAAAGAACCAGGCCTGTGTTAATATGCAGAGACCAGGCCTGCGTACATTTTAAACAGAGCAATTTTTTATGACATTATTTCATTGGCTGGTAAAGTGGTTGGCACGCTGAGCTGTGCTCTGAACCCAGTGGCCAGAGTTCGATTCAATAAATGGCGAGCGATATCAGAACCGATCCAGCCCCACCTCGCTCCCACACCTTGGCCGACCTGCACTGACCAGCGTGGTGAAGTATGGACAAGCTCCCCTAACCTTACCCCCCACCTCCCATGTTCGACAATGCCTTCATCGGTTGGCCGATTTAGGGTGGCTGCAATTTATTGTTTTTATGATCTTGTTTAAAATGAATTACCCCCAATCACTTGTTGGATTTTTACATGTCTTGCATGAATGTGCCATATATTGGACCGCATATCGTTTGAAAAAATCAGTTCGGACGCAATTAATGTGTTTTTAGTATGTGACGAAAAATTATTTGGGGAAGTAAAGCCGCATTTCATGGATCCCGTCCAAATTGGTGGTTATAAACGGGACACTACTGTAACACCAGAGAATAAATCACAGTGCACACTTTGCCAGTAGCAACTGATGAAGCGAAACGCTTCTGTTTTGTTTCTAGGTAAGTCGTGTCACTTCCCCATCTTGTTAACTCAAAGAAAACCCAGCGAATGTTTTTTTTTCGTGTGCGAGCGATGCGAGACAATGAAATGTGGCGAAGGTAAATGTGCAGCCCTCTTGCAATTGCTTGATCACGCCACTGCTTCCAGAAGGGCTACCACTACAGGGAGCTCTACAGAGTAATTGGCCTACTATTTTACGCTGGCCAGACGTCTTTGAACAGGTGAGAGTAGCCACACTTTGCCCCATCTATGCGCGATCTGCCGACCCACTCACTGCGGTGTACACGTTCACTGTAGACTGGTGCGTGACCTCTGGATGTCAAAATCCAGCGTCCTGACCATTACAGCACGCCATCACCTCGAAACTTAATCCACGTGAACTGATTTTTTTGCAAACGGCCGTCATTTGATATCACGTAATGAGCATTTAAGTGGTTCAATAGTCTTAATATTGAGCGCTGGACGAATTGTCGCATCGCAGGACAGCGAGAGATGGCAACCCCTTGTGGGGGCCTTCATCCAGCAGTGGATTGATCATGGCCGATACCACGATGGAAACGATGACGAAGGAGCACTTTTCCTGGACATCTATGAAAAGAGCTTCATAGCTCATCGGATTGCTCCAGTCGAGGTAAATATTCGAATTCTTCGTTAAAGCCACACCTAGTCTCCTATTCCCCCCCCCACCCAACATCTTTGCCAGCAGTCCCCACCCCACCAACACCCACCGCAACCCTCGATTCCCAATGGACAAATACAGCAGCCGCCGTTCTTTGACTTTCAAGACTCTCAAGGCACCGGGCGCTAATGAACAATCGCCACGCTACGCGGCTGCCGCTTCCGCTGCACGGGGCAACGCGAGGGCACTCGTAGGGGAGACGCCGAGTGGCTCGCCCCGAGTGTTTGCACGCACGCGCGTTTTGCCGTGCCGTGCGTGCAGCGTTGGGCGGCTGGGTGGTGGCGCGGCGGTGAAGTTTGTCTTGAACGCACGTGCGTGCGTTGAACTTCTTTCGCACCGTACGCAGCCAACCGCGCTAATCGGAGGTGCCGGTTGGAGGGGCAGGGAAGGGCGTTTGTGCGTCACGGCCAGGAGGGTTGCTGGGTTCGATTCCCGACCCGGGGCGCTCTTTGTGTGTGGAGTTTGTATGTTCTCCCCCTGTCCTGCCTGGGTTTTATCCGGGCTCTCTGGTTTCTTCCCATAGGTAAAACAACAACAACAACAGCAACAAACCATGCAAGGTAACTCCTTTTGGGCCAAAACTCCCAAATGCTCCAAAATTACCAAAAATCGTTCACTTGGGATTACACAGCAGCAGCAACAACCCTCCTGAAAAAAAAGTCTTGAGACAACGGTAGTCATCGTAGTAACAATAATAACAACAATAACAAGGGGGGCAATCAATCCAGTGGCACAGCAAGGTCGTTGGGCCATGTGCCCTGGCGCAAGGGCAGAAGTGAGGCCTCATCGAAACTACGTCGCTCGACACCTTAGGGCCCAACGCCTCCACTCATCAATCCAAGTCACCCAAGAGTTGACACTTGACCACACGCATCATGAGCTGTTCGTGTATCAACGAGACATGTTCAACGTGGACCTCAGAACGAGTGCCTACAACAGCACTGTTAACTCAATTTTTAAAAACTAATTTGCAGGATGAGTTGCAGCAATGGCAAGGTAAAGGTGGGTAGGTGGGTAGGGATGCCACTGGCCACGCGGTGGTGGTCCCACAAGCTCAGGGAATTTAACAAATTATTTAGCGCTACGTTGGCAGTGGTGTACAAGCACAAATAACAAAAAATCAATCTACACATTCGTCATTAGCACAGCGGCCTTAAGTATATGAGAGGTGACGTTTCGGCCAGTGGCCCTTCTTCATAGCACGTACATTAATTTAGGACGGAAGTTTTTTTCAAACTGCAATGCAGCCCAATGCATTAATTCCATAGGTCAAAGGAGAAACTGGTATCATCTGAGGCGGTGCCAACTGATGTCTACGTCTAATGAGAATTAACCACTTGATAACCTCACTGATTTCAAATGGTCATCGCGCAATCCACCGTTGTTTGGCCGCGTAGAGGAACTGAAACCACGAAACGTTACGGCCACCGCGGGCTCGTGCACTAATTGTCATCACGAAAAGTGAGTGGGCCAATCTCTACAGCTGACGTTCCCTTAATTCTAGATTTGAAGCTTTCGTGACTGCAAGGATTCATACTCCTAGTTCTTTCGGTAAAGTCACGTAGGTATAAAATGAAATTAAAATTAATACAAATAAAACAATAAAATCACGACGTTTCGGAGGCAACACAAGTCTCCGTCATCAGGTGGGACCGTCACAGCCAGATTTGCTGACGGAGACTTGTGTTGCCTCCGAAACGTCGTGATTTTATTGTTTTATTTTTATTAATTTTAATTTCATTTTTTACCTACGTGACTTTACCGAAAGAACTAGCTAACGTTCCCACCTGAGCCGAAATGATCGAACAATTCCGTTTCGGAGCAGACCGCGCTGACCCGTCTACTCGCGCTGACAATTCTCCATCAAGTGCAGGGCTTGACTGATTGTGTCAGGTAAGAGTTATTTTTCTTGCTTGCGGAGAAAACTGCTTTTAGTCTCGCTCACGCAAATAAACGAGGACCCTTGAGGGTAATTGCGTGGCACGTTTCACTTGAATTGGGGCATCAGCATAACACACAGATGGCGCAACGTAATAATGATAAGAATGATACATACTTTTGACAGCCCCTTTGTCGATTCACTTTGACTGCCGGATAAGGGTCATGCTGTGTGAATTGTACGGGTTGTTTGATCAAACTTCACCATCCTGGTCAGCGCTGCCCGGTTGCGATATCATTCGCCGCTCATGTTAGCGGTGGCTGGGGATTGGTTTACTCTTTCTTCTAAATGAAGTAAAGTGTTTGGTGACGCTGTCGGAAAGCCTCACACGTGAGTCTCAAGACTCTTTTATATTTTTGATTCAAGATAGGTCCTGCCAAGGTATCGCAGTCGGCGGCGATGAAAGTCACGTGTAATCCCCGTGCAGTAATTTGCGGTTGAACATTTTGTGTCAATTTCCAGCACGCCGCCACTCCACCCCAAATGAACTCGACGTTGTTTTATAACGCTTTTTTTATTTTTTGTTTGCAAGTGGCACACTGGCACCTGGGCCGTTTCGCACGCACCCACGCCATGCGCGCGGGTGCGATCGACGACTCGAGCGAGCTGCGACCGCTCGCCGTTGGCGGCGCCAGCTCTCTGTACAGGCAGCAGGAGATCGGTGTCAGCTCGCGGAGCGAGACAACGCATCGACCGCCCTGTAGGTTCTCGCGGTTGTGGGCTTGTTAAAGCTCTCCGGTGTGTTGTGTTTTGTTGTTTTTTGTTGTTGTTGTTTGCTCGGGCTTCTACCGCGTGTTTTGTTTCGCCCCACCTCCTCTGAGCTTGTAAGAAGCTCGGAGAAGGGGGCGCGAAACGTCGGACGCCGGACCGAAAAACACGTGGCTACAACCCGATACCACGTCGGAGAGCCGTGCTTCGATCCATCGATTCTTTATTACGTGCGTCGAACTGCGTACGTATGGATCGATATCTTCATGCATGTTGTGTGTAATGGGTTCACATGATCCCCCCCGCCCTCAGCCACCAGAGGCCGCTACATCGAGTACGCTCAGTGAATCACTGGAGGAGTGAAATGGCATGCTCCTCATGTATACTACCCGTGTGTTTATGTTAAATAATAAATATTAACAAACAGCCCTTTGTCTATCCACTGCTGGACGAAGGGCTCTCCTTCCCGTCTCCATCATGGGAG